ATGTATATACATATATATATGTATATATAAACAGAAAATATTAATTAAAAACATATTGAATTGTGGACGTCGTTTCCAACTACCTAAATAAGTTAAGAAAGTTTTTTTCCAGGGTATATGTCTGTGATGTGATTAAGAGCTGTGCTTCGTAGACTCTTTCTTATAGCGAATGCTGGAAATATTCAAATCCCATCGCAGAGCTGCAATTTTTTTTAACAAAATCAGCGTATTCAAACGTATTTTTATGGATACAAAGCATAAAGGCTGATTAAGATTTTTTATGAGTCGAACACTAATACATATATGATTGCATTGCATGCTGTAACGGACAATGCAGACAAAAACTTCAAAAATCGACAAAACTAAGTAAACCGTAACTCTCGCATTCATATTAATATTGGTTAGAAGTACTTTGCTAAGCGTGAGGAATAAATTACAATATTCACTGCGAGGATAACCTATTTTTTATTTATTTCCCAAAAGCAAAAATACGATTTGAAACGTAAAACACATTTTTTATAATATTCATCTAGACCATCACTGGTCTATCCATCCGTAGTTTGTAGGTGGTTCTAAAGTTATTTAAGCCACCATTTACCATTGTTAATAACAAAATTAAATGTTATCTTAATCCAAATTATTACGAAATAGCCCAAAAGGAGATTGGACCTACTTTTTTGACCTTGTAATTTTGGTACTTACAGCTTCAGACCATACCATTTTCGACTGCATTCTTGAGTTTTGCTTTATACCTGATAAATTTAGCATTTAGCAACTTAATCAAATACCACGAGGAGAAAAAGAGTTACATGAGATACATATGTTACATAGAAAGGCAGCCAACTTCAAGTTAATGCTATAAGAATCGAAACCTTTTGCTCCAAATTGATCTGTTTGTATAAGTCTATATCCATTTTGTAGATATCAAGCTGAAAATATGCACACGGTCTTTTTTTCTTAAGAAGCTGCTTATTTGGCGAAATTAGCGACCATTATAGCATATAGCTGCCATACAAACTGTCTGCTCAAAATGGAAAAAAAATCTTTTTATAACCTTTATTGCTGTAAGAAATGCATATTTGAAGAATATTGTAGCATCGGTGTAATCGAAGTCCGTATTTTCTTGTTTTACTATATTTTTCAACTTAACCTCAATTTCAAAAATATTTTTTCTTCGTTGTACTACAAATCGGCACAAACAATGATCAACAGCAATTTGTTTTGGTATTTTTGCAGAATTTTAACGTAAAATTTACATTTCAAATTTTTGGAGAAATATTCATCAATGGCCAACCACTGCAGCCGGCGCGACTTTTTTTACATACATATATACATTTGTAAATATGTTTATTGAATCGTTAGCAATTTGATTTAATTTTCCTGTTTATCGAAATATACCCATGCCAATTCTTTTTTGAAAGTACATACATGTGTACGTACATGTAGATATCTAGCTACATACTTCTGCTTGCATAGTGTTTGCATTCATTAGACCACGGCACATCTGCTGCTGGCACTCTTTTCCTGCCCTTACGCCGTCACATAAAATCAACGATTGGCGAACAACAGCGTTTGATTCATTCACCGCTCTTTCAATGTGTATACATACATATATGTATGTAACAGTGTACTCTCCGCTTTACTTTCCCTGTCGCGTTGAAGCGTCGTCACAGTGCCTTACCAGCCAGTTCTTGTGCCAAGCGTGTGTCCATGCTCATGCATTCTGAGCATTTCGACAACTGTTAAGGCGCTTTGACATGCCAGCAAACAACAACAAGCGCTGAGAGAACATACACTGGCGCATACATATGTATGTATATGTGTGCGCTTGTGTGGTGTGCGGAAGAAGCCAAAAGGCGCACATAGGCATAAAGTGCGAGCGCAAAGTAAGCGCCACAGAGACTCGTCACCATTCACTTAATAAATCGAATTTTCATTTGGTAACTATAACAACAGTAACAACAAAAGTGCAACAACAAAAAAAAAGTTAAATGTGAAAAATATATCTGTGTGTATGCGTGTGTGGCAACATGTGCCCAAGTGATTATGTCTACTGCCATTAGTATTTATTGTTGTTGTCAGTGATTGTGTGCGCCTATTGTTGTTGTGCGGTCTCTATTAGTGTTGTTGTTGTGCTATCCTGCACTATTCTTTACCACATCTGCCAATGTTTGCAAGTCGCTTTTGGTTTGTTTTGCTACTTCGCCGGTGATAGCGGTACTTTGGCGTGTAAAACTGTGAAGCAGTGAAAAAGAAAAAAGTGAAAATATAATGGAATTATTTTCTTTTTATAGCAATACAGAAATAAAGTTTACATTTTGAAATATAAAGGAAAAATACTATATAAATATTA